ATGCAAATCTTCCAGCAGTATACCTCTACCAACTCATAGCTCCTAATTTGCGTAGAGCCATATCCTTGGCTAGATTTAATGTTCTTCCTTCAGCTATTTTATCTGGCAGATTCCAAGGGATTCCCTATCCTAGCAGGTGCTGTCCTTGTAGGAAGGATTGTGTTGAAACTGTTGCCCATGTTCTCTTCCAGTGCCCTCTCTATTTGGCGTCCCGTCGGGATCTTCTATATCCCATATTAGGCTATTTTTTAGAGTCCCCTGATGATTTTAAGCTTCTTTTCTTGCTCGATAACACAGACACAGAAATAACTGAAATAACAGCAAAGTTTCTCTGCAGTGCCATGGCCCTACGGCCTGATAAATGATATGATGAATTAGGTTTTTCTGTATGGCGATACTCTGTGATGTTACTCGGCAATTTTAATTTGACTCTGTGTGTATTCAGATTAAGGTATTTTTTTTTATATGCCAATAAAAGGCTTTGGATGGATGTTCTTGAAAAAGCAGTTTCTGTGAAGAGCTCTCTCGGCCCCACCTACCTCACAGGGTGTCTGTTGTGGGGAGGGGGAAGGGAAAGGAGTTTGTAAGCCACTCTGAGACTCCAAGTGAAGGGGGTGGGGTATAAATCCAATCTCTTCTTCTTCTTTAATGTTTCCATTTCAGGCACATCCGAATCTCATTTTGTGTGCCTCTTCTTTAGCAAATCTTGTCACCGATTCCTTCAGGCCAAGTGCTGATGCTTCAGCATGTTCAATTGAAATAGCCGGAACTGATAGATAAAACGGCCGTGTTTGGCACCAGTAGAGTAATGAAAATCAGCTCACCTTCCTGCAGAAGTCGTACACTGAATATGAATGGTTAGGGTTGCCAACCTACAGGTGGGGTCTGGAGACCTCCTGGAATTACAACTGAGCTCCAGACTACAGAGATCAGGTCAATGGCTGCTTCGGAAAGTGGAGTCCAGGGCATGATGCCTTGCCTAGGTCCCTCCTTTGACCGAAACCCACCCTCCTCAGGCTCCACTCCCAAATCTCCAGGGATTTCCCCAACCTGGAGTTGGCAACCGTAGTTCACTGGCGGAAGAACCCTAGGTTTGTGGATGCACTGGACGGGGAGTAGCTTGTGGACTGTGCACCAAAGGAACCAGCCCTTCTTAAGATTTTTTTTTCATGAAGAAATTCATAGAAGCTCCTGCCCTGCCCACCCATTTGGAGAGTCTTGAAGGTGCTGCTGGAGCGTCCGGCTCTTTTCTGCTGGAACAGCCTGGCCCAGGTCATCACCACACACACACACCCCAGCCCGTGCAATTTGCAAGAGAGGTGAAGCTCCTGAAGAGGTCAAAGAATCGGATGGAGAGACCCAGGTTCAAGTTGCCACCCATCCCTGGAAGATGCACACACTCAGCCTCACCTCCCCTGGAAGCCCCCGTGTCCCCCCCCATGGAAAAAAAAGAAAAGAAACCCCGCCCAAGGCCTGGCCAGCAGCATGCCCACCCACCCCCCGCAGCCACCCGACCCCTCTCTCACCGGCCTCTTCAGCCGCCCACTTCCTGCACCAGAGGAAGGCTGAGTGCCACGATGCCAACGGGACTCGAGGGGAGGTACAGGTACATCTACGACCGGCAGGAGTTCGTGCGCTTTCACAGCCGTCGCAGGACCTACGAGGCCGTCACCGAGCTGGGCGAGCCCGCCGCTGGAACAGTCAGAAGGAGGTCCTGGGCTGGTGACGGCCTCGTAGACAATATAGACAGTAACATGGTAGCTTATAAATAATAACATCATCAAAAAGTCGACATTACAACCAAAAATACTATTTAACAGCAACTAGATCCAATAATCAATATTCTAATATGCCCAAATTCATTCCAATATTCATTCCATTAATCATTAGTTGAGTGTTAATCTCTACTTATGGCATTCCTTGAGCTTTATATCATTACCTACATTAAAGCCCAATTTTCAAAGATCATCCCTTACTCAGGAGTCAGCTAGGTATTATCCTTACTTCTAGTGCTATAATACAATTAATCCAATAAACTATGAGTTATTTCTACTTTAATCATATATGCTTTTGAGAGTTTATTTCATATTTTTAAATTATTTTCCATTTTCAAACAATGACTTTACAAATTTGCTATCCATCTCCTTTATTTCTAAATTACTTCTTACTATTTCACTGTTGTTCCTCACAACCCTTCATTTTTACCACCATTTTTCCCCATTCAAGCTTACACACATGCTATTTTATTAATCACTTTGTAATTATATTCCAGTTAACTTTCATTAATTTATATCTAACCATTATATCTTTTAATCTACTTTCTCGAATCCATTTCTTCCCATCAGCCACATTTCCACAATTTATACTCATTCATACTTACACTTAACCCTAATTACTACTCACAAATTGATTATATTTACATTCACCCTTACTTCTTACTATCCATCTCCTTTATTTCAAAAATACTTCTTCTTGCTACTTTACTAATATTCCACTTCACCCTTCATTTTTACTACCATTTTTCCCCATTCAGACTTACACTCATACTATTTTGTTGCTCACGTTTTAATTAACTTCCATTTAACATTCCTTAATTTATATCTGACCATTATATCTTTTAATCTACTTCCAGGGATCCAATTCTTCACCCTTACTTCATCCTCCTCCATACCTTATAACTAACACCAAGTTCTTCCATCCTATCCAATACCTGCCAAAACTTATTAATTACTCTTCCATACATCTTCCTTCTTCTTCTAAATGCGTGTAACCTCTTCCCTTGTAACACCATGTCTCTATGTTTCCATTCCTTGAAGGTGTGGTATATATTTTCCAATTTGTTTTCATTCACTTCCCGGAGGTTCCATTCCTCTTTTGTAGTGTCCCCTTTAAATTTCCATTTACGCAGTCTTTCTTTTCTACCTTTCCAGCTTTTTTCTCTCTTCCTGTATTTTTTCCCCTGCATTTTTTTTGTATTCCTATGCATAGTTTCCCCATATTTATTGCCTTCTTTCTTGATGCTTGAGTTGGTGGGGATGAAGGGGGCAAAACCTCGGCATAGTTTTTCCTTTGCAAACATCCCCCACTTTCCTCTGTACTCTGAGTAGCTTGTTCCAGTTCCCCCCTTTTTTCTGCTTTAGGTGGTAAGTTTTTAACTGTGTCCAATAAGCTTGCACAAGCCTCTTTTATTCCTTGTTGTATTGCTTCCCTCAATATTTAAAAAAATTATTCTATTGATAAGTCCTCAATTAGGGTGTTTTCGTCTATCTCCTCTTCCTCCTCTCCTGCATTTGTCACCATTTTACTTATTCTGTTGCACTTAATCACTAGTAATTCCACTCTAAAAAATATCCTAGAATTTCTTAAAGTTGTTAGGTAGCCTCACCCGAGAACATCACAAAAAAATTCCCCTATAAATAAGAATAAACTTAGAGAGACAGTTCATCTTCTTCAGATTATTTTTCTGGCCGCTGTATCTCTTCATTCCAAATCATGCAGCAAAGGGTAGTTCCACTTTTCTTTTCTCTTTGTTTCTGGTCACTCACAATCATTTGTCCTTAAATTCCTTCTCTTTTGTTGCTGTATTCGTTTCAGTCCGTTCTTATTTTATTTAAAAAGGTTGGCTGCAGCTAACTGGAACATGGGCGGCCATGTTCCATCCCGTATGCTGCTCCAGCTTCGGGGCGAATAATTGGACACCCCCCCATCTTGCCAGAACGGGAGGGGCCAAAAACAAAGCCCCCTGCACCAGCTCTCTCTCCGGGAGACCTGGAGGGCTCTCTCAGAAACCGGGAGAGCCCAATCAGAGTGGCTGGGAATTGGGCGGGTCGGAGCTCACCGAATGCCGCCCGTCGCCGTGCCAACCGGAAGTCCCATATTTTATGTTCCTAAAGTAACAGAATGAACGGAAAAGACAAAAGAAATGTTAATGTAGCATATTTTTCTGAAAATTTCCGTTTCCCCCCGGAAAAAACTGGAGAAAAACCGGGTATTTTCCGAACTTCAAAATTTCTGGAAATTTTACATCTATAGGAGGGATTAGGGTTGAGAAATGCCTCTCGAGAACTGCTTGTCAAATAAAATGTTTGTGAATTAAGGATGCCAGTTGGTCACACTATGGTTATATCAGTGGGAGAGAGGCTGTAGATATCTGTTACTCTCTCAGCTTGTCTGTTGCTTCATGCAATTTGGGAAAGGAACTGTTTTTACCAGTTTTGAAGATGTCAGAGTTAGGATGGCAGATAACCTGAGGTAGCAAGTTTCACAGAGGAGGGGAAAAACTAAAAAGGCCTTTCTTTGTGTAACTTTGTTCTCAGCCTTTCTGAACCTTCAGCGCCAGGGCGTTTGAAGAACCTGATCAGTACCAGCTATAGGAAAGTTTCACCCTTGTATGGATTCGCTGAGGAACCCAGAGATCGGATCTGTGCCTCAAGCTCTTGCCACACATTGAGCATTGATAAGGTTCCTTTCATGAGAAGACTCCTCGATGCTGAAGATCAGCTGATCCTTCATCCAGCAGAGCCCTTTGCCAATCTTTGCTTGCTTTCTTCCCTGTGGGATCTTTCTGAGGTTTTGAACATGGATAAAGCTCTTTCCACACTCTGGGTATTTATAACATTTCTTCCCCGTTAGTGTAAGGTTTATGTTTAGATTAAAGCTTCTTACAGCAGTTTATATCTTTTCAATGCTTTGTATGGTTGTTTCTTGTCTTTTAGATGTGCAATAGGAGAAAAGCTCTTTTCATGGCTAAGCAGTTACATTGTTTCTCCCTGTGTGGATTCCTCATTGCAGTAGAAGAGAATCACTCTGACTGAATCTCCTTCCACTCTTTGAGCATTCAAAAGGTTTCTCCCCTGTGTGAGTTCTTTGATGTCGTTGAAGATGGCCATTCTGACTGAACCTCTTTCCACTCTGAGCATTCAAAAGGTTTCTCCCGTGTGGAATCTTTGGTGCACTTGAAGATTGCCACTCTGACTGAATCTCTTTCCACACTTTGAGCATTCAAAAGGTTTATCCCCTGTGTGGGTTCTTTGGTGCCTCTGAAGACTGTAACTCTGACTGAATCTCTTTCCACACTCTGAGCATTCAAAAGGCTTCTCCCCTGTGTGGGTTCTTTGATGTTGTTGAAGATGGTCACTCCAACTGAATCTCTTTCCACACTCTGAACATTCAAAAGGTTTCACCCCTGTGTGGGTTCTTTGGTGCTTCTGAAGATTGGCACTGTAACGGAATCTCATTTCACACTCTGAGCATTCAAAAGGTTTATCCCCTGTGTGGGTTCTTTGGTGCCTCTGAAGACTGTAACTCTGACTGAATCTCTTTCCACACTCTGAGCATTCAAAAGGCTTCTCCCCTGTGTGGGTTCTTTGATGTCGTTGAAGATGGCCATTCTGACTGAATCTCTTTCCACACTCTGAGCATTCAAAAGGTTTCTCCCCTGTGTGGAATCTTTGGTGCTCTTGAAGACTGCCATTGTAACTGAATCTCTTTCCACACTTTGAGAATTCAAAAGGTTTTCCCCCGGTGTGGGTTCTTTGGTGCTCCTGAAGACTACCACTGTCACTGAATCTCTTTCCACACTCTGAGCATTCAAAAGGTTTCTCCCCTGTGTGGGTTCTTCGATGCACTTGAAGATGGTCATTCCGACTGAATCTCCTTCCACACTCTGAGCATTCAAAAGGTTTCTCCCCTGTGTGGGTTCTTCGATGGTTTCGAAGACTGCCACTATGACTGAATCTCTTTCCACATTCTGAGCATTCAAAAGGTTTCTCCCCTGTGTGGGTTCTTTGGTGCTGATGAAGATTACTACTGTCACAGAATCTCTTTCCACACTCGAAACATGCAAAAGATTTCTCCCCTGTGTGGGTTCTTTGGTGCCTCTGAAGATTACCACCGTGACTGAATCTCTTTCCACACTCTGAACATTCAAAAGGTTTCTCCCCTGTGTGGAATCTTCGATGTAGTTGAAAAATACTACTGTGACTGAATCTCTTTCCACACTCTGAGCATTCAAAAGGTTTCTCCCCTGTGTGGCTTCTTCGATGCCGTTGAAGAGTGCCAGTCTGACTGAATCTCTTTCCACACTCTAAGCATTCAAAAGGTTTCTCCCCTGTGTGGGTTCTTCGATGCACTTGAAGATGGTCATTCCGACTGAATCTCCTTCCACACTCTGAACATTCAAAAGGATTCTCCCCTGTGTGGAATTTTTGATGTAGTTGAAGACTACTACTGTGACTGAATCTCTTTCCACACTCTGAGCATTCGAAAGGTTTCTCCCCTGTGTGGCTTCTTCGATGCCGTTGAAGACTGCGATTGTCACTGAATCTCTTTCCACACTCTGAGCATTCAAAAGGTTTCTGCCCTGTGTGGGTTCTTAGGTGCAGTTCAAGATTGCCACTCTGACTGAATCTTTTTCTGCATGCTGAACATTTGACAGGTTTCTTCCCTGTGTGAGTTGTCAGATGCTTTTGAAGATTCCCACTTACAGTGCATCTCTTTTCACAAACTGAATATTCAAAAGGTTTCTCCCCTGTGTGGGTTCTCTGATGCCATTTAAGATTCCCTGTCACACTGAATCTCTTTCCACACTCTGGGCATTTAGGAAGTTTCTCGACTACGTGTATTCTTTGGTGTACAAAGAGCTGTGATCTGTTTCTGAAGTACTTTTTGCACCAGATGGATTTTCTTGCCTTTATTATCCTGTTCTTTGGAATATGTACATTATGCTGTCTTCCATCTCTCTTCTCAAGCATATGACCGCCTTTCTTTCTCATTGGTCGGCCTCGATTGCTGACATTTTTTTGCTGATGAGGTTCTTTGCCCTCTTCATTGCTCTGAGCCTCCTCTGCTGGAAAAAACAGAGCAATCCTGTTAGCACCTGGGAAGGCTGGGAAGGTCCAAAGGCATCTATGTGACTACAGTAGATAAGGACTGACAGCTGTTTGGCCTTGTCCAGCTTGGCTGATCTTAACCACCCCTCCACCTTTCCCCAGAAAAACAGATTGCTTACCTGTAACTGGTGATCTTCGAGTAGTCATCTGCGCATTCAGACCCATGGGATCTAGTGCGCATGCGCTGGATAGATCGGCATTGTAGCAAGCTCTTAACGGATTTTTGCGCCCAGACCTCGGACATGTGCAGGAACCCCACCACGCATCCCCAGAGGGGTGGGCGCAGACATCCTGCCAGTTCCTTCAAACCACCGCGAATCAACCCCTATGAAAATTGTAGAAGCTGACAGCAGCGGGGAAGGAGGGTGGGTGGTGTGAATGCACAGATGACCACTCGAAGATCACCAGTTACAGGTAAGCAACCTGTTTATCTTCGACGTGGCCTCTGTGCTTCACACCCATGGGAGATTAGCGAGCAGTGGCCTACCTGGAGGAGGGTGCTGGCAGGTCCTTACTGCTTAGCCGATGATAGGATGTGACGTCCCATGTCGGTACGAGAGTTCTTACGGACGTCTAGGGCAGTGGTGGGCAAACTCATTAGTCAAGGGAGCCAAATATCAACAGTACAACAATTGCAATTTATTTTGAGAGCCAAATTTTTTAAACTTAAACTATATAGGTAGTTGCTAAAAATGTCCTCAATCTGATTGAGGTATGTTCGCTGAGGTTGACCCCTTCCAACTCTCCCATCCACACTCGTCTTGTATACTTGTTTTGTCTCCTTTCGTTCATCCTCTCTATATGTCCAAGGTATCCATAAAATTAAATCATGACAAAATAAATCATGACAAACACTAATGTGAACAATGGCCTTGCATCTCCTTGGAAAGTTTGGGTAAGTCAGGTTTGTATGTTGTTGTTTTTAATTTTAGGCACGCACTAGAGAGCATCAATATGTATGGCCTCGCTGGACCAGATTCAAGGTTCTTAGCTAGCAGCTAGCATTCTGTTCCCAACTGCAGCCTTCATATTCAGAGGTTCAGTGTCCCTGAACGCAAGCTTGATTAAGTTCACAATATATTTCAT